TTTTCCTTTCAGTTTATTTAAATGATACCATATGGAAATATAATTGATGCTGGTATAGTGATCTTTTATCTTGCAACCTTGATGAACTTGTTTACTTGTTCTAATAACTTTGAGTGGATTCGTTTGAATATTTTATATACAAGGTCAGGTTATCTGCAAATACATATAACTTTACTTTCTTTCCAACCAAGATACCTTTTATTTCATTCCCTTGCTCAGTTGTCTTAGCTAGCATCTTCAGTGTAGTCTTGAACAGAAGTAGTGAGAGCAGACATCCATGTCTTGTTTCTGAAAGTAAGGGAAAAGCATTAAGTCTTTCACTGTTAATTACAGTGTTAGTTAGGGTTTTTAAAATCAATGTTCTTTATCAAATTGAGGAATTTACCTTGTATTCCCTTGTTGGGTGTTTTAAATCATGAAGGGGTATTCAATTTTTGAGTTGTTCTTAGTGGTTGTCTGGGGGACATCTTGTAACTAAAGTAGATCATTTAATACCATCTTAATTTCAATAGTATACAAAAATTTTGCTTCTAGGCATACAGTTGGCCAACAGAACATGAAAAGATGTTCAGCATCACTAATCATCAGGGAAATGCAAATCAAAACCACAATGAGATATCACCTCACCCCTGTCAGAATGACTAAAATCAAAAACACAAGAAACAACAAGTGCTGGTGAGGATACGGAGAAAAAGGAACCTTTGTACACTGTTGATGGGAATGTAAACTGATGCAGCCACTGTGGAAAACACTATGGAGGTTCTTAAATTAAAAACAGGGGCACTGGGTGGCTCAGTCGGTTAAGTGTCTGCCTTTGACTCAGGTCATGGTCCCAAGGTCCTGGGATCGAGCCCCACATTGGTCTCTGTCGGGCTTTCTGTTCAGCAAGGAGCCTGCTTCTCCCTCTCCCTGTGCCTGCCGCTCCCCCTGCTTGTGCTCTCTCTCTCTCAAATAAAATAATATCTTTAAAAAAATTAAAAATAGACTGCATCACCATATGATCCAGTAATTCCACCACTGGGTATTACCCAAAGAATATGAAAACACTAACTCAAAAAGATATATGCATCCCTGTGTTTATTGCAGTAGCCAAATGTGGAAGCAACCCATGTGGCCATCCAAGATAAATGGATAAAGAGAACGTGGGGTGTGTGTATATACATACGTACACACACATGCGTGCACACACACAGTGGAATATTACTCAGCCATAAAAAAGAATGAAACTTGGCATTTGTAACAACATGGATGGTAAAATGCTAAGTGAAATAGGTCAAAGAAAGACAAATACCATATGATTTCACTAATATGTGGAATTTAAGAAACAAACAAAAAAGACAAAAAAGTAGAGAACAAACTGATGGTTGCCTGAGATGGGAATGTTGGGTGAAATAAAGTGAAGGGAATTAAGAGTATACTTACTGTGATGACGATAGAGAGCAAACGGATGGTTGCCTGAGATGGGAGTGGTTGGGTGAAATAAAGTGAAGGGAATTAAGAGAACACTTATTGTGATGAGCACTGAGTAATATATAGAATTATTGAATCACTGTGCTGTACATCTGGAACTAATATAACACTATGTTAAAAAAACCACTATGTTAATTACACTGGAATTAAAAAATAAAAATTTGAAAATTTTGCTTCTTCATAAGTCTGATCCTTCCCATTTACTTTTCTCTTATTGCCACACAAATGTGCCCATCAGGATTTATAATTATTATATTATGTATTTGTCTTTTAAATCAGATGGGGGGGGCGTCTGGGTGGCTCAGTCGTTAAGCGTCTGCCTTCGGCTCAGGTCGTGATCCCAGGGTCCTGGGATTGAGCCCCACATCGGGCTCCCTGCTTGGCGGGAAGCCTGCTTCTCCCTCTCCCATTTCCCCCTGCTTGTGTTCCCTCTCTTGCTGTGTCTCTCTATCAAATACATAAATAAAATCTTTTTAAAAAAATCAATCAGGAGGGGAAAAAAGATATAAACCAAAAAATACATTTATAATGTATGCTAATTATGAGTTATTTGTCTAGTAATGTCTTAATTCGCCTTCATTTTTTGAGGAATAGTTTTGCTGGATGTAGAAATTTTGGTTGGTAAGTTTTGTTCTTTCAGCACTGTTTTCTGGCTTCTGATTAGAAGTTATCTCTTATTGAGGATTCCTTGTGCTTGATTAATTGTGCTCTTGCTGCTTTCAAGATTGTCTTTGGCTTTCAACAGTTTGTTTATGATATATCTAGATGTGGATCTTTGTGAGTTTATTCTGCTGGCAATTGTTGAACTTCTTGTTTATGAGGCTTAACGTTTTTCATTAAATTTGGATGTTTGGGGTCATTATTTTATCAAATATTTTTTGTCCATTTGTTTCCTCTCCTGCTGGGAATCCCAGTAATGCGTATGTTGGTTTCTGAGTCACATTTGTTTTTATTTCTTTAGATGGGGTAATCTAAATTGACATATCTTCATTTTCACAAATTCTTTTTTCCTCTTATTCAGATCTGCTGTTCAGCCCATCTAGCTTTTTGTTGTTGTTATTGTACTTTTGACCACAGTTCATAGTTGGTTTTTTTCCCTCAAAAAACTATTCATTTTATTTTTTATAATTTTTCTTTATTGATATTCACAATGTGCTAAAATATTTTTTTTCCTCATACTGTCCTTAGTTCTTCAGCCACAGTTTCCTTTAATCCTTTAAACAATGCAGCTGATTTAAGGACTTGTCTGATAAATTCAGTATCTGGGCTTCTATTTTCTATTGTTTGGTTTTTTACCCTGTATATGGGCCATACTTTGTAGGTTGTTTTTTTCCTCATGTTCTGTAGTAATGTGTTGAAAACTAGTTGGATGTTTAAGTAATAAAATGTGGCAACAGAATTTTTTCTTGCTGTTTACTGTGATTGTTTCCTTGTTTAATTAGTTTTCTGACCCAATTCTGTTTTGTCTATATTCTTGTGTTTGGCCAGTAAAGACTCCACTTGGTTAGCTAAGCAGTCAGCTAATGATTAAACAGTGATTCCTTAGTTTGATTTGATTTGATTTCCTGGAACTGACAAGTTCCCTGGGCATTGTAGAGCAGCTCTGTGTGCATGTTGAGGCACACCTTTAACACTCAGCTAGCCAGTTTTGAACTCTGCCTTAGCCTTTAGTTCCTCCTTGTGCAGATCCTCAAATTCAGCCAGAGATGATAGTTTAGGGCCTTCTAATGAATTCTCATGACTTTCCTGAGTGTGTGTATAGCCTCTACACATGCACAGCACCACACATGGGCCTAGTCTTCTATATTCTTAGGAATTTGTTAGAGTTTTTCAAAGCCCTTCTGTGTATCTCATATCCTTGCTTTCCCTATTAAATTTTTTGGTTAGTCTGTTGTTCGACCTAACAGGCAGCTTTGAAGTTCAATATTTGTCTATCATTGTCAACACCACACCCAAGGAAAATTATTTTGATACTGTCCAAGTTACAGATCAGGTCAAATATAGATAACCTTGCAAGTGAATTTTTCTAGGGAAGTATCAGAAAGGTCAGATAGTGACAATTCTTTGGGATTAAGGCTTTGAGGAAATTTCAGCACATTGTTGCTGCTTGTCTTCACTTTAAATGTGATCTGTTAGTTTTAAGGTTACCATAGCTCTGGAGATCAGGGCTTGGGACTAGGGCATGTTAAGACACCACAGAGTTCACTGTTCTTATTGAGGGTCAGCTCTTTTTCTTAAATAGATGCTCTTTGAATTCCTGCAAACCTTTGGTTATTTTCTAAATTCTGTAAAATTGATTCTTAAAATTTTTGCTAATTTTCTCGTTGCTTTTATTGAAGAAAGAAATTTTGAGTGTCCTGACTTGCCATGTTGGTTTTAGCTTATTTACTCTTAGCTTGTCCTTTCTGTCCCTTCCTCAGGCTCTTTTACTGTACTGTTAGATGAGGGTCTTTCTGGGTTTCTTCGTATTTGAAATACGGGATACTGCCAAGGACAGTCAACTGCAGTTATTTAGAATAGCAAAAGAGTGAAAACAACCCAAATGTTTCAAAATAAATCGTTTTTTTTAATGTTTTGTCTATATATTCATATGATGGAATATTACAGAGTGACTAACAATCATGTATTTGGAGACTATTTTATAGGAAAATGTATGATTATGGATGGGAGAAAAGTATAAAATGCAGTATATGCAAATTTTTGAAAATAAGTTTTGTAAAGAAATAAACACGTATACACCAAAATTAACTGCTGGAAGGAGGTGTATCAAAATAGTAGCATTTCAGAGAAAGACAATTATCATATGATCTCACAGATATGTAGAATTTGAGAAACAAGGCAGAGGATAATAGGGGAAGAGAGGAAAAAATGAAACAAGATGAAACCAAAGAGGGAGACAAACCACAAGAGACTCTTAATCTCAGGAAAAAACTGAAGGTTCCTGGAGGGGAGAGGGGTGGGAGCGATGGGGTGGCTGGGTGATGGACATTGGGGAGGGTATGTGTTGTGGTGAGCGCTGTGTATTCTGTAAGACTGATGAATCACAGGCCTGTACCCCTGAAACAAATAATACATTATGTTAATAATAAAAAATAGTAATAAAGGATAGTGCATGATTAGAAAAAATGGTAGGATTTATTATTTCTGGGTGGTAGTTAGGTGAGTTAAAAACTGTATTATGTACCACAAAGTTGTGTTAATTATTTTTTGTGATAAAATGCAGTAATTAGTGTGATACACCTGTACCTATACTGTTTTTCACTCTTATGAGTTTAATTAAAAATTATATGGCTGTTGAGTTTTGATGATTTAACATAAGCTTTTATAAATATTTGAAGAGATGCTGTAAGAACGTGTTAATAATACCTGACATTGGCGCTAACAAAAAATGTATATGAGCAGTTGTTAATCCTAAGAGTCTACTCTGTAGGAAGGAGTTTTTGTTGCACTGGGGTATAATAAGGTGAATTATTAGGCAGATGAAAAACATGTAGTCTGATTTATTTGCATTTCATTTTTTTTCTTTTCAGGCGCATATTAAATTTCCTATTGACTACCCATATTCACCACCTACCTTCAGATTCTTGACCAAAATGTGGCACCCCAACATTTATGAGGTAAGAGACATATGTTGTGAATTTCTCTGAAGATGTACTTTTTAGAAACAGTCCTTTAAAATAACCTTTATATCTCCATATGCTGTAGCCACAAGGGAGTATTCATGGTTCCCCACTTTTAGTTAGTAATCTCTAGTTTAATTGTTCAAAATTGAAGGTAGTTTTATAATACCACTGTATATTATATTTAAGAATAAGGTTTTAGGGGCGCCTGGTTGGCTCAGTCATTGAGCGTCTGTCTTCGGCTCAGGTCATGATCCCAGTGTCCTGGGATGGAGCCCCACATCAGGCTCTCTGCTCCGCGGGAAGCCTGCTTCTCCTTCTCCCACTCCCCCTGCTTGTGTTCCTGCTCTCGCTATCGCTCTCTTTCTCTGTCAAATAAATAAATAAAATCTTAAAAAAAAAAAAAAGAATAAGGCTTTAAACCTTTGTTACTTATTGCTAAGATTATTATAATGCCTATGTGTTAAGACTTGCATTTCAAAAATTTAGTATATATAAAGTCATACAAATTAGTGTACCTATCCTATAGCGTCACAACAGTGGTCACCTGTTGCTGTGATCAGAAATTGAGCTTTTTAGGGGAATTTATCCTACTGCATTTGGACTGGCCTCCTTTTAGGAATTGCTCAGAACAGTTGAGAACCTCTTTTAGAATAAATCCAAGGTGAGGTTCTTTTACTGGACAAATTCACATGCCTTCAGGAGTCTTTTCTAGTTTTGTTGGTGAAATGTACTTACCTTTGGGCTAATCTGTAAGGATGCTAGAATGATGCATTTTGTTTCTCAGGATAATTATGTCAGGATCCTGTAAAATATCCTTAGAGTCTACTCGTTTACCATTCTGTAATATTTTTCATTGTAATAAGGCTCTAAGGTGGTTTCATTTTATTGAAGCTGTGGTCTAAGCATAAAATTGCTTTTTAAAATTGGCAGCATTAGTTATGATAGTCCCTTTTATTGGCCTGTTGGATATTGGGAAACTCCTTTGCTCCAGAAACAGAGGCAACATAGTCTTTGAATTGCTTGTGGGCAAGAAATGGAGAACTTACTCTAGAGTCCTGAATTTGGATCTCCATCTGTATAAATTAGCACACTGGAGCATCTTTAGTTTTTTTCACAACTTGCTTTTTCTTTGAGGTAGTATCTTCGTTTTGTTTGTTTTTTTCTTTTCTATTTATTTATTATTTATTTATTTGAGAGAGAGAGAGTGTGTGTGTGTTTGTGTGTGTGTGTGTGTGTGTGTGTGTGTGTGTGGGCGGATGGGGGAGTGGCAGAGGGAGAGAGAAAATCCCAAGCAGACTCCCACCTGGGTACGGAGCCCAACTCGGGGCTCAGTCCCACAATCCTGAGATCATGACCTGAGCTGAAATCAAGAGTCAGTCACTTTAACTAACTGAGTCACCCAAGTGCCCCTCTTTTTTTTTAAGAAGCGGGGAGGGGCAGAGGGAGAGAGAGAGAGAATCTTAAGCAGACTCCATGCCCAGCAAGGAGTCACACATGGGGCTCAATCTGACAACCCTGAGATCTTGACCGAAATCAAGAGTCAGATTTTTTTTTTTAAAGATTTTATTTATTTGTCAGAGCAGAAGCGGGGGAGCAGCAGGCTTCCTGCTGAGCAAGGACCCCGATGTAAGACTTGATCCCGGGACCCTGGGATCATGACCTAAGCTGAAGGCAGCTGCTTAACCAACTGAGCCACCCAGGCATCCCAAGAGTCAGATGTTTAACTGACTGAGCCACCCAGGGACCCCTCTTTTCTTCTTCACATAGAACAAACTGGTGCTCAAAAGGTGATACATAGTTACATTTCCAGAAATAAGCTCCCAGAATATTGTTTTAGTATCTTTAGTATTTGACATAATCACAATATGAATAAACAGTAGTAAATACCTTATATTATTCTGTATAACTAAGTTACCCATTGTAGGAGAGAGATATAGAAGCAATTCGCTGTTTCATAAGTTCAAAGTGATTTCAGTACACATAGAAATATTTTTGTGTCTCTGTCCATGTAATATATATAGAGATTTTATTTATTTTTAGATAGATAGATAGATTTTAGATAGCAAGAGAGAAGTGAGAAGACACAAGCTTTTGTTTTGCTATTGAGAACTAATTTACCATAAAGCCATGTATTCACTTGTTTCCATCTCAAGTTATCTAATTTCCAAATCCCTCTCAAATAAGAAACAAAAAACAAAGGAAAGAATTCAAAACTGTGAAGGATTAAAATGTAGGTAAACTCCCCTTTCCAATATGTTCTCACTATTAAGGTAGGCCATTTAGTTCTGTCTCCTTAAGATTTAGCATTGGATCATTATCTTTAAAAATATTTTTCATATTCATAATAAAATTTTCAGTGGTAAAATAATGCATACATACCTTACAAATATGCAGTTGTTTTCCATGCCATAAAAGTTTTCTTTTAAAAGAAGTGATAAGTCATAGTTAGCAATTTAATTTGATGTAGTCATGGTGGTCATAAGAAACTCTTCTCACATAAGTTATCTTTGCTACATTTAGAAATGGTATCAGAATTGAACTCTTTTAAAGATTTATTTATTTTAGAGAGCATGCACATGAGTGGGAAGGGCAGAGTAAGAGGGAGAGAGAATCTCACTGGTCATGGAACCTGATGTGGGACTCAGTTTCACAACCCTGCGATCATGACCTGAGCCTAAACCAAGAATCAGATGCTTAACCAACTGTGCTACCCAGGCGCCCCAGAATTGAGCTTTTTGAGGGCCTATGTCAGTATTTGTGATTCTAGAGAATAGGGCTCTTGCTTCTTGGCCAAAGGGATATTCTTGGTGGTGGTTCTCTACTCACCCACCTGTGTTGTCCCCTAAGGTGGACACATGGTGAACCTCAATATCCAATTGTTCTAGTCACTAAAAAGTTTACTGCAGAGTTATTTATAATAGAACTGCAGGGGAGGGAAGGACAATGAAACAACCCAATCAAAAAACAAAAGCAGACTACTCAAATGCCAGAAAAAGGGACTTGATGAAAGAGTTTTTGATAGGGGATCCTGGGTGGCTCAGTTGGTTAAGCGTCTGCCTCCGGCTTAGGTCATGATCTCAGGGTCCTGGGATGTCCTGCGTTGCAGGGAGCCTGCCTCTCCCTCTGCCTGCCACTCCCCCTGCTTGTGCTCTCTCTCCCTCTCTCTGACAAATAAATAAATAAATAAATAAATAAATAAATAAATAAATAAAATCTTTAAAAAATTTAATATGAACTTGTCATCAATCATTCTACTCCTATCTGCTTTGTAATATGTTGAGTGAGCTCAAAAATACAGTTTCCTGGTTACATACAGGTAACTGCATATTCAATGTAGACAACCAGCAAACCCTACTTGCCCCACAGACCATGTATTAAAATGAGGTTTTCATACATACTGTAATTCACTATGAACTTTACAGCTATGGCAACTCAGAATCTCCCTGTTCTTTATCATTTATTTAAAAAAATTGGGGGCTGCGCCTGGGTGGCTCAGATGGTTGGGCGTCTCCCTTCAGCTCAGGTCATGATCTCCAGGTCCTGGGATCAAGCCCCACATCAGGCTCCCCGCTGGCTCAGCGGGGAGTCTGCTTCTCCCTCTCCCTCTGCCTCTCCCCCTGCTTGTGTGCTCTCTCTGTCTCTGTCTCTCTCAAATGAATAAATAAAATCTTTTTATTTTATTTTATTTTTTTTAAAGATTTTATTTATTTATTCATGAGAGACAGAGAGAGGGAGAGAGAGAGAGGCAGAGGGAGAAGCAGGCTCCCAAGGAGCAGGGAGCCGGATGCGGGACTCGATCCCAGGACTCTGGGATCATGACCTGAGCCGAAGGCAGACGCTTAACCATCTGAGCCACCCAGGCACCCAATAAAATCTTTTTTTAAAAAAGTTAAAACTAAATAAAATATTTTTTTTTTAGGGGTGCCTGGGTGGTTCAGTCGGTTAAGCATCTGCCTTTGGCTCAGGTCGTGATCCTAAAGTCCAGGCATCAAGCCCCACTTCAAGCTCCCTGCTCAGTGGAGAGCCTGCTTCTCCCTCTCCCTCTGCCTGCCTCTCTGCCTATTTGTGCTTTCTCTCTCTCTGTCAAATAAATAAATAAAATCTTATTATTTTTTTTTTTTAGAATATACTGATTTTTTTAGAGTAGTTTTAGGTTCACTGCAAAACTGAATGGAAAACACAGTACTTGATGATCTTTATGATACAGTATTTTTAAATTTTATTGTTTTAATAAAGATTAAAATTAGATCCTACTGTTTTAATAGGCTTTTCCTAAGACATGTTGTCTTGGGCTGCCATAACAATATCATATAGGGAATGGCTTAAACAAAAGAAATTTATTTTTTCATAGGTTAGGAAACTAGAAGTCCAACATCAAGGTACCAGCATGGTTTGTTTCTGAAGACTCTTATGGCTTATCTCTGTGTCCTCACATGGCTTGAGTAGAGAGCGAGCTAGCTCTCTGGCATCTTGTATAAGGTTTTTTGCCAAGTCTATAGAACCGTAACTTTTTGGAATAATAAAATTTAGGCTTTGTGAGTGGTGAATGGGCCTAATTACACATAGTTTATGATCTTTGTAATAATTTAGGTAGATGGTATGCCATTATCAACTTTTCAGAAATTGAAAGAACTGCATATGTCAAGAGTCCTTTACAATAAAGCTGTAATCATAAATTATATTTTAATATTATACAGAAGAGACTAGGTAAAAGCAATAGTAATACTGTATTAGGGTTCTCCGGAGAAATAGAACCGATAGCATATATAGAGATATATATTAGAGGAGGTTTATTATACAAGTTGGCTCACATGGTTATGAAGTCTGAGAAGTTGCACAATCTCTGCAAGTTGTAGAACTGGGAAAGCTGGGAGTATAATTTAGACTGAATCCGAAGGCCTGGGAACTAGGGAGCTGCTGGTGCAAGTCCTAGAGTACCAAGACCCAAAAACGCAGAGTTCCATTGTTCCAGCTCAGGAGAATTTGTCCTTTGC